TCAGCAAGTCGTATCTCAAGCTCATCGATTTTCTTAGCCTGAACCGACACCTTTTGCTTGAAGTTTCGAAGCTGAACGTCGGCCGATAATAACTTTGTTAAGATGGTTTCTTTCTCCGCTGCCAGACGGTCAATAGTCTCCTTCCACCGGTTGCATTCGGCCCGGATTTGATCCACCTCCTCTCAGAGTAGCCCGATCTTCTCGATCTTTTGCTGTAACTGAGACAACGAATGGTTAACTTCCACAGTCGAGGCGAATCCATACTTTAACAGAACGAGGCTCACCTGCTGATCGAGCTCGACCCTTTCTTCACGAACCTTAGCCAAATCCGCTTGAAGATCCTTTATAACCTCCTCCTTTTTGCTACAAAGAAGCCGAAGGTCATCTCTTTCACCTAGGACCTTCCGGAGTTCGACATCGCACTGGCTAAGATCAACTCAAAACCTACCGATGGCCTGCACAGTTAGAAACTGTCATCAACACCAATAAAACAAAGAAGGATCACCGATATCGGAACCATCAAGTATGGAAAAGAACAAAGAAGCCAAGTATGGAAGAATCATTACCCGAGTAATAAAACGCTGAGCTTCCTCTAACAAAAGAGAAGCATCACCGATATCAGAACTATCATCAACACCAGTAAAACAATCCTTAAAAGGATCCGCTGCACCTGAGCCAGCACCAATATCGGGAGCCTCCATCTCTCGAGCCTCCTTCAGCGTCTCCTCAGAAAAAGATGGAAGAGAAGGTGAATGATCCATCGCCATTACCCCAAGCAAATCACTCGGAGTACTCCGATCGAGACTTAGGTCTTCGGAACCAACCCCGATGGGCATGGCCGCCATCGGCTCAGCAGCTCGAGCAACCTCGACTGCCTCCGTAGGTCGAACTACCAAAGCCGAGGAGCTATCTTCTTTTTCTTCTTCCTCCCTCAGCCGTTGGACCGAGTCAATCGAAAGGGCAATGGTTTTTCTCCTCACCTTTCGAGTTTTGGGCTTAAGGTCCTCTGGCCGAGAGGAAACCCTTCGTTTCTTTTCATTTCCCTGTTCCAGGACCGGGGATTTATTTCCTTCATCACCGCTCGAAGGCCTCAAAACGGCATCCCTAGTTACACTTATATACGAAGGAAAAATCAATAACGAAATGAACGCAGAATATACCTCGAGGGAAACAGGAACCAAACCTCACCATGATTTTTGGCCTCCCATCTACCTTTAGCCAAATCACGCCAAGCGCGCTCGGCATAGGATGAAGTCGAGGCTTATTTTCGAATCCAATCCTCGAGATCAGGCACAGCTTGTGGCATTCAAGGTGCAGCTGGACATCAGAAAATAATATTAACAAAAACAAAAAAAGACATGAAAAGCAAACAAGAATCACTTACGGTCAAAATTCCATGCCTCAGGAAACGACATTTTTTCCTCCAGGATAAGGTCACGAGTCTTCACTCGAATATATCGACCCATCCAACCTCGATCCTTATCTTCATCGATGCTCGATATCAAAGCCTTCGATGCTCGACGATGTAGCCTAATTAGTCCACGATAAATCTGAGGCCGATACAGTCGTATAAGGTGGTTCAAAGAAAAATCCAACCCTCCGGCTTTGGTAGAGAAGAAACGCAATAAGATGACTATATGCCATAAGGAAGGATGAATTTGGCCGAGGGTGACTTGATACCGCCTGCAGAAATCAAAAATCACGGGATCGACAGCTCCCAACGTAAAGGGATAGGTGTAAACGCTTAAAAATCCCTCTACGTAGGTAGTGACGCTCTCATCGGAGGATGGGATTTGTAACACAACCTCGGAACCCCAGCCGCAGTCTTTTCTGACGGACTCAAGGTGAACCTCCGCTATAGAGCACATATACATCGATACGTGCTCACACCGACCCGGAACGGACGAAGGGTTCTCCACCCTGAAATCAGTTTTTAAAAAACACGGGCCGGGAATATAATCTTGAACGGATGGCTCCGTCGGCGCCTTATCGTCACACGGCCGTGAGGAGGAAGCTTTCTCCTTGTGAGGTACGATTTTTGAAATTTTCGCCATCAATATGAGAAGAAAAGTCGCAAAGGAAGGTGAAAGAGGGGACAACACCGAAACTCTGGTATAAGCGGTGCTATATCAACGAAGTAGAGAATATTCAAAGGGAATTTAAGAAAAGGGGAAGCACAAAAATAGAAAACATTATATGGGAAAACTATTTATAAGGCATGGCGATTCGTTTCTGGCGGTGGCCGACCACCGACTGACACACATTAAATGCCTCGATAAAACCAAATCGATGGGACAGCAATCACGCACGTCATAATCAAAGTCGATAGAATATCATCGTTGATTCGGTCGAACCTTAGGGAAATCATATCGTTTCTCGTCATCTCCTTTCTAAGAAACGAGGGGGCTATCTGTATACGGTTAAAACCGGTCCTCGATCATGAAGATCGATCGAGGATGGCATCTCAGTCAAGGGGTATCTTCATGGAGAACCCGATCGAATTCCGAGACGGGGGCGTCGAGCTTGGGGCATCCAAATCGACCAAGGTAACGTCGACCGGTACTGGTCCCGAACATCGATCACCAAGCTCGAAACCAAGGCCAAGGTTCCGATCCGACACCGAGCTCGAGTCTGTATCGAGCTCACAGACAAAAAACTGTTACAACTGCACTAAAGGAGAGAATCTTGGCGGGAATTAAGGAGGAGACACACCATCATGGGTCCTCCACTAGTAATATTATTCCATTACGCTGCTAATGATAAAGTAGTGATCCTTGGCTATAAAAGAAAAAATAGATTGTAATAGAAGACATCTCCCCTGGGAGTTAAGAATTTATTGTGTTTACCTTTCTAAAGCTCACTAAGTATCTTTGTTTCATCATTCCCTATTTTATCTCATAAACAGGTGTATTGTTATATTCAGATCAAAGGAATCTGCTTACCCTTAGAACCATACTTAAATTCAACGTTATCCGATTTTTCGGGTAAACATACATGCAAACTTCATTTTAAGTTCAAGAATTGTGACAAGTTGATCTAGGCACCAACTGGAAGATGCATAGTTTTGTGAGAATACAATGATAGAAATCTTTGATTCTTGAATTGCTTTAGCAAACTCTGAACTGCTACGATCAGCTTCTTCACTACTTCTGGATTCATTATCACCACCTTTGAACGTGCGAAATCCGGCTTGGTTTAAAGATGTGGAGAGGTGATCCGTGAAATTTTTACCTGTATCTTCACTTTTGAAACTCAAAAAAACATCATATGAAGCGTTGGGAATTGATTGCTCATTAGCTTCTTCTGTGGCCATTTGAACAAATTATGTTCATCTATGGAATGTGTGCTCTTTTACCCTAGCTATGGTAGTTAATGGAAGTAATTAATGTACAAATTCTGAGCTCTGTGCCCTTTGTATTTTTATATTATACATGGGTCTTAAAGAATAAAAATATTGTCCCACTTGTGACATAGATATGTTTTTTTTTTTTTTTTTTTTTTTTTTTTTTTTTTGTCAACCTTTTCTTTATAATTACCTAGTTTAATTTAGAGATTGAGGGATGATCTTGCCTTATTCTTTTGGAAATTATAAATTATTATTTGTTTTTATGGGATAAATATATTCTTGAATTTTACCAGGTAGGGCTGGATGGAATCAAATAATCCCACTGTTATATTTTAGGAAATTCAGGTACCATGCAAGTGGACAATAACCAAATAATTAAAGGTGGACGTAGAATTATTCGGAACTGTACGCTGATGCTATCTTGGTAGCTGGGGCTGGCTCATGTCTTGTTTAACAAATTGTTATTTGAAATTTACATGTCCGACTAATTATTTGAATTCACGTTGTGCAAGTCTATTAAAAAAGTAAAATGCTTTTATCATAATTTTTTGTAAAATTTTACCATAGATAAATAAAATTGATACACCTAAAAAGCACCTAGCACTGCAAAACCAACTAATTTCAGTCTATCTACAGTTTTCTATTTGATATATACTTCTATGAATAATAGATCGGAAACATTAATTATGAGGATATATACATTCGAAAAACTAGTCTAGGCCTGTTTATGATAGCAAGGGAGTTTTATTTTCCCTTAGCTACTTATTGATCTCAAAAGATAAAGTGGAGATCATATTTAACTAGAATATAAAGATTGATATATAGAAGCATTCTTTAAAATTGATTTTGATTATTAAACTATAGAAAAGATAATCTTGAGTGTTAATCATTAGTCTTTTGGAAATTATAAAATATTAGGGTGTGATTTATGGATTCATACATTTTTTTAATCTACTTGTACTATTCAAGGTTCATAGCTGGCTGAAATGAAATCAATGATCCACTGGCGAATATATTTTAAGAATTTGGGGTACCAATTATTAAGTGGACTAGAACCGAAAAATTAAAAGTAGAGGTGGAAATGGAATCATTTGAAGCATGTATATATATGCTGATGCTCTCTTTAAGGATGTAAGTTACAAGTTATTGTTTATCGTATAGAGATATACATATAATTACCTTTTAAATGATCTGACTGTGTAACAAAATTGCAATATCAATACGTACAACTTAAAGCTATAAACATATACGGATTTTGAGAAATAAAGTAGCCTTTCTTTATGCATAGAATTAAAATGGATACTAATATTCTACAAGGCTTGTCCCAAAAAAGAGGGATGAAATATCACAAACAATAAACTTATTTTTATTCCATAATAAGCCATAACATATCCCCATCCAATACATTACACTAAAATGGAGAGGCAAACCTCGGCTACTTATTTATGTGATACAAGCAGTAGTTCAGAGAAGCATAATTATTTTTAGATCAATATATTTTTGATATAATGTTTTAGTTGTTGTCCCGACAAGAGTGAGTTGCTCTAGTGGTGAGCACCTCTTGGAGGGAGGGAGCCGAGTTTCTATTGGAAACAACCTCTCTACCCCAGGTAGGGGTAAGGTCTGCAATACACTACCCTCCCCAAACCTCACTAGTGGAATTATACTGGGTTGTTGTTGTTGTTGTTTTAGTTGTTATCCCACCAGAATTGTGATTGAAGATAATCCACGACTTTCTTTTCAACTTGGAATGCTTTTGTGAGAACATAAGGATTGATTGGTGGATCTGAGCCAAAAACTGCATTTGCTATAGTGATGACTCCTGCATCTTGACTACTGAGTCCAGACATTGCAACAGCTTTAGTCTTTCCCACATTCAACTGAAAATGAATCATACCTATTGGGAAAACAAACACATCTCCAGGTTTTAGAATCTTGGTTAACAACTTGTTCTTCATATTTGGACCAGGGTTTGAAAGGACAAAACCAACGTAGAGTTTGCCCTTAAGACAAGTAATAAGCTTAGTTCCTCGGGGGTGTATATGAGGTGGGTTGAGATCATATGGTGCATAATCGATACGAGCTAACGAAATGTCCATAGTGTTGAGTCCAGATTGTTGATGTTCACATTAGTTACAGTTGATCCAAGTTGATTTGAAGTATTTCTAGGTATGTTTAGACCTGATCTAAAAAAATCATTTGCCAAAACCTGCTTTGGATCCTTGCAATTTTTTCCGTTCACAAAAACTGCAAAAAGAAGCTTTAATTAAAGAAAAGGTAAAAAACAAGAGGGAGGAGTATACAAATAGCCATTTTTAGGGCTGATATTTAGGGATTAGTCAGTACTTATTTTGTCCTGAAAATTTGAATTAAAAATCTTAACTTCCTGAACTGAAAAAATTCAAGACACACTTATAGCAGTCCTCTAGAATGGCTACCGGCGTGGTATCTTTTCTTACCAAAAAGGATAGATGAAGTACAAAAATAAACTTCATAGAAAACTGTGAAGATCATGATTGTAATTTGGTAATTTGATTATTTTACCAGCAGCTTTGGAGTCATCAACAGCAACACACAAATATGCTGCAGAGGACTAGGATCAAATGCATGACTTATTGAAGATAGCACAGCCATTGAGGTAATGGTCAACACAAATGAATTGAGAGCCATTGCTACTAGAAATTAACTATCTTATGAAACAATGTAAATGATATTTGTTTTTGACAAACATAACAAGAAAGAACGACGTATTTATAGATGGATATTTGTTTGAATTGGTCGACAATTTTCTCTAAACAAATTGTGGATTAGGCTTCTGCATTACCAAGTCATCAATGGGTAAATTTTTAAAACACTTGAATATTACTATATTGAAGCTTCCTTGAACAACTACAAAGACTAAATTTTATTAACCTGGGACTTACATCAGCTATCCATTTGAAATAGTCATGAAAATGAGGAGGATCGGGGTAAATTTTTGAGATTAGGTTGAGAAATTAGATACGATAGCTACTTCCCAAGATAAAAAGAATGTACAATAATCTGAAATATATGATTTAGATTTTAGTCTAAATCTTCATTGACATCAAAATAACTAAAACGTCTTTCGTTGTTAAGATTGAAAATTATAAGATCAACGACCGCATTGATTTATTAAACTTATCAGATTTAAAATTAATTAAACTGATGACTAGGTTACGTGAGAGGACAATTCATTCGTCTCAACAACAACAAAAACCTGGAAGTTCTTATTTTTACACTAATTGATAAGTTATGCTATTTCGTATTTTTGATGATTTGCCAAACATTCTCGAGGAACCAGATAGGAACTAATTGTGATCAATTCCTTTGGCCTTGATAAGATATGTTACTTCGTGTTTTGCCGCCAGGTCAAATATTCTCGAGGAACCAGATAGGGACTAGATGTGATCAATTCCTTAGCCGTCGTACAGTCAACTACAACAGTAAAAGCTGCCTCACTGTACCGACTGGCAGCAATGCAACGGCACAACCACTGCTTGCTAGAGGCTAAACTAAAAGATGAAATGTCCCTATCTATTCTCACATGCTCTCTCATATATAAACAACATGTTACAAGGTTTGTTGTAACACTTGACAATCTAAAAATCACATTCATTCAAGTGCTAGCTGCCACTGCTCTCAAGGTTCTCTCAAGAACAAAACTGCTACAAATTAAAGCACCAGATCCTGATATTGAAATGTCTTAAGTCCTTAGGTTTGTTGAGTCTTTGTTAATTTATTCTTTATTTGTAATCCTATACTACTTTCAAGAAATGCTATTATAGGACATATTTTAACTTTTGTTGTTTTGGTTTCTTGACTAGAGTTAATCAAGATTTGTTGTTTTGTAATACAATTAGTGCAAAGGGCTAATAATAGAGTTATTGTGAGAGATGAGTGATTAAGAGGTTAATTCCTATGTTGCAATAGGTTGTAATCTGAAGTTGCTCGGTTTAGTGAAGTTGGAAATCCCACTCTGGTAGCTCATGAGTTTTAATCCCTTGAGCAAGGAGTTTTCTATGTAAACATCTTGTGTTATTAGCTTTGTGTCTTTTTACTATGGGAACAAATAGAAAACTTGGTTCTCTATATTATTTGGTGGACTCTTAATTTCTATCACTAACGCTGCTTGCTAACCAACTTATTTATAAAGGAGTAATAGAGCGTTCTAAGTACAAATAGCTGATAATTATACATGTATACATTGACCTTAGCTTCTTTCTATGATCTAGAACACAAATTTCCTAGTTAGAGCATTGATGTGCAGCCAAAATACTATATTTTTAGTACATTACTCGCCTTACATGTTGTTAGTTTAGTGGTTAATTGTGAGACGTTTGATCTATATTATGTTGTTTTATGTGTAGGAGCATTGGAAGACAAAGACGAATGAAAGTTGCACAAAAAAGGACAAAAATGCAAGAAAAGAGCACAAACGCATCAAGTACCCACACCGTGCTACAGACCAAGTAAAGCCAGCTCTATAGCCTGCCTTACCATGCTATAGACCAAGTAAAGCCAGCTCTATAGCCAGCTTGACCGCTCTACAGGCCAGGCGTAGCCATCTCTGTAGCCAGGCTGACCGCGCTATAAGCTTGGCCTCGCAAGGTCTATAGCCCGGTAATCAAAAGTACGTGAATTAAAAGACTCCGACCCGGATTGGACTCAAGGACTTCAACCCTAGCCTATAAATGCTCCCTAAACATATCTAAGAAGGGACGTTTTTATAGCAGATTCGACAAAAAAAAGACGTTTTTGGAGAGGAAATTTGACACAAGGAGGCAAGAACACGCTAGGCGGAGAATTCTTCTACGAGTTTTTCACTTCCTTCTTCCTATTTCTATTATTGGTTATGAATTCTAGTAGTGTACTTTTGCATACTATTATGAATAGCTAATTTGTTATCTAGGAATTTGATGGAACCTTTTGTAGGATAAATTTTTGTGATGTTTTTATATAATTGAGGTATTGGATTTCTCTACTTGTTCTACTACGCATTTATTGTTATTGATTGAATGACCATCAATTGACTGTGCCTATTTAGTATGTATATTGCTCGAGAGAGAGTACATATTTTGGTAGTTGTTGAACAACACCACTCTTAACGTATTTGAGAGATCAATACAGAGGGTTTAAAAGCGGTATTAGAGATAACGAAACCTTGGTGCGATCGTAGTGAGCGGTAAATTAGTGTCAGCTAGCGTAGTTCGAGAGAATACGTCTAGTAAATTGTGGTAGTTGCTCGATAGAGAATTACGATACCTGAAGTACTCACGATTGGTAGATAATACTTAGGCAAAATTATAGAAGACGTAGCGGGAAGGATTTCGACAATTGGGAAAATCATAACTCTAGACCTCCTTAATCATGTCTCCAACCCTTAGTATCTTTAGTTGTTAATTCACTCCTTTAATTTGTTAGTTAATTATTTTAACACAAGAATCTTTATATTTACAATTTAGAAATTATTCGAACTTGTCTTCTTAGTGATACTTAACAATTATAGAGAATCCTTAGTTCTTTGTGGGATTCGACTCCAGACTTTTAGACCAGATTGTATTTGCAGCGAATGCTTATCCCTTTTAGGACTAGAGTTGGGCGTGATCAAATTTTGGCGTGGTTTCCAGGGAACTAACAATGTGGTTGTAGTTGTACATATTGCTAGGTTTCAAGTTTGAACTATTATTTTGTTGTTTTAGTATTTGATTTTTTTTTTAATTTTTATTTTTGATTTGAGAGACATGACATCTTGGAATTATGAGAGTTTTGATGTTGGTAATTTTACTTTTGATCCTCCTTATGCATATAGTGGAGGAGACCACTCATGAAAAAATTATCAAAATATTCCCGAGAGCGAGTTATGTATACCAACTCAATCTTATGTGTGGAATGTGTGTGATATGTGTGGTGGTCAAGATAGTCACTTTCATGGTTGTATTTATATTTCTTATCCTCCCCAGCCCCTTACTTTGATGGTTTTACTTTTTCTTGTAATGTTAATAGGAACAAAAAACCTAGGGATGATGACCTGAAAGATATCATGAATATGCTACAATACCTCGTGGAATAAAATAATAAGAAACAACTACACATACAAAGGCAAGATGCTATGATTCGCAACCTAGAGGCACACGTGAGTCAATTGGTTGAAGCATTTAATGCTCAACAAGCCAATGTTAGGATAGTAGCCAAGAAGAGCATGAATTAGATACGAAAATTGGGGTTCTAATGGAGTAGGTAAGAGTAGAACACTAACAATCTAACCAACTAGAATTTGAGGATGCTGATATTGAAGAAGTAATACTAGAGTCAACCAGGGACGTTGAAGATACAAATTTAGTTGACTCTAGTGTGATTGGTGTTGATGAGGTTAAAAATCTTGAAGTTCATGTATTTGAGCGTGTTGGACCTCATTCCAAACACTTCTTTACATTATGTTCAGATGGTGAAATGGAAATTGATTTGTATGAGCCAATACATGAGTCAAAGGAAGAGGTAGATGAGCGCTATATTCTCAAATTTTGAAGGCCGTCTAGGCAAAGTGACAGTCCTCAGTTAACAGCCAAAAAGTGCATAAAGAGTCATTTAATTTTTAGCTCGTAATAATTTGTATCGCCCCAAGAGCATGATCATAGAGCAGAATCAAAACTTGGGGTCCAATTCATAAGTTCGGAGTGGAGGCAGAAAGTGATTCACGTCATGCCATGACGTTAAATCAAGCGGTTGTTGGGAGGCAATCCAGCTTTACTACTTTCTTTTCTTTTCTTTTTTATTTTTTTTAATTGTATTATTTTTGTAGAGTCAATTTTTGATTTTCTAAGAGCATAGAAAACAAATCTATTGGAAGGATGCAACAACAAACCAGATGGTTGGAACTAAGTGTGAGGTACCCGCATAAAGGACCATGCCTGGGAGAAGTTTGAGTACCCCATAAGCTGCTAGTGATTCGGTGTAACGACCCGACCGATGGTTTTGATTATTGCAACCCCATTCCCCCATTTACTAAATTTATGCTTTACAGTTGTTATGTGACTTGCCGGGGTAATTAGTTCGGGTCCGATGAGGTTTTGGAATGATTTGGAATACTTAGTTCCAAGGTTTAGAACTTAAGTTGAAAAGGTTGACCGGATGTTGACTTATGTG